AAACCACTGAGAGATGGTATGAGCATCAACCGGAAACATTTACCCAAAATAACGATGTAACTATTCTCTGGGATAGGTCAATTCAAACTGACAGGGAAATAACAGTTAATTAACCTAACATAGAAAACAAGAAATTCAGGAAGTGTATGTTCATTGATATAGCAGTATCATCTGAGAGAAAACACCTGGAGAACGAGATTAACAGGATGTGGTGAATGCAAACTGAGACTGTACCAATAGTAATCGGAGCTCTAGACCTCGTGAGAAAAGGAAAGGATAATTTTACTAACCGTGTCGCAGGTAATATCAACATACAATTTGTCTAGATAATCGCCTTACTAGGAACACCCCATATCCTAAGAAAAGTGCGACAAAATCCATAGTTTTACCACAGATATACAGAATACAAAACAGGAAACATAACATGCCCGAATAATAATAATAATAATAATAAGTGTATGCTTATTGACATAGCAGTACCATCTGAGAAAAACACCTCCATGAAAAATTATCGAGAAATTGTTCAAATACAAGGACCTCGAGATCGAGATGTGGGGAATGAAGACTGAGACTGTACCAATAGTAATCGGAGCACTTGGCCTCGTGAGAAAAGGAATGGACAATTTTACTAACAGCATCCCAGGTAATATCAGCATACAAGTTGCCCAGAAGATCACCCTACTAGCAACATCCCATATGCTAAGAAAAGTACTATCAATTAAATGACAGTTCTCTATAGGGCCTAAGGACCATAGTTTGAACCCGGCACGACGGAATACAAAGCAGGAAACATGACATACAATAATAATAATAACAATAACAACAGCAATAAGTGTATGCTTACTGACATAGCAGTACCATCTGAGAGAAACACCTCATTGAAAATTATCGAGAAATTGTCCAAATACAAGGACCTAGAGATCGAGATTAACAGGATGTGGTGAATGAAGGCTGAGACTGTACCAATAGTAGCTCTGGGCCTTGTGAGAAAATAAATAGACAATTTTACTAAGAGTGTCGCAGATAACATCAATATGCAAGAAGATCGTCCTAGAAAGGACATCCCACATAGTAAGAAAGGTGCTATCAATTAAATGACAATTCTCCTATAGGACCTAAAGACCATAGTTTGGAACCTTGCTCTACAGGAGACAAAGCAGGAAACCTAACATATATTAATAATAATAATAATAATGAGGACTGAGACAGTGCTAATAGTAATCGGATCTCTGGGCCACGTGAGAAAAGGAATGGACAATTTTACTAACAGTGTCGCAGGTAACATCAACATACAATTTGCCCAGACGTTCGCCCTACGAGGAACATTCCATATACTAAGAAAAGTGCTATCAATTAAATGACATTTCTCCTACGAGGTCTCAGGACCATAGTTTGGACCCGGTTCTGCAGTAAACATAACATACACAAATGATAGTAATAATAACAATAATAAATATTGTGATGCTACACCAAACGTAGATCCCATGGCTTAATTTTCTAATGCTCTTAACATGTACATGTTTTTTGAGTTTTTTTTTTTCGTGAGCTAAGATGAGCTACCATAAATATCCTATTCAGAACCATAGATATAATCTTGGGCCTGACGCACTTTGCATCTCTGATCATCAGCGTGGGTAGCGGTGGGCGCATTTTTATAAAGTTTGAACGATATGTCATCAAGATCCGGGGATCTCATAATCCTGGAGAATGAAAAGAAGAACAAAATAACAAACAACAAATAAAAAAAAACAATACTGTCCTGGCTGTGCTGGCAAATATAGAGGGAATATGAAGGAGTGGAAGAAATTAGAATAAAAATACAAAACCCTTGCCCGAGAGCTGTGAAAAATATGAAATATGGTTAGAATTGTGCCCAAAGACATTGAAATCAAGATTAGATGAGTTGGAATAGAAAGGGATGGCTGGAAACTATAGAACGCGTGGCTGTACATTTGGTAACAGACCTTTAGCCGAACGGACATTGAGCCGAACGGACATTGAGCCGAACGGATATTGAGCCGAACGGATATTGAGCCGAACGGACATTGAGCTGAACGGATATTGAGCCGAAAAAGTATAAGTAAAAATAGTAACAAACAATACTTTAAGTATTTTAATTAGCAGTATTATAAGTTGGAATAGGACTAATAATTACCATTGAACTTCAAGTGATTAAATTACTAACTCTAAATTTAAAGTTAAAAATGTTCTTATTTCAATATTTGTTTATTGAAATTAGTATCTTTTAAAAGTAATTGAGTGCATTTGGGTAAAAAGTAGCACCTAATTATTTAAATTCGTATTTAACAGGAAGATAAAAGCTAGTTCACCACTTTAAAATAATGATCATCAAAGCGAAATCTAAAGCTCTTTCATATCGTAAAACCTTAAGATTTTTGCTGTAGTAAAATGTGTTTTTTTCTCAAAATACTTAACATCTTATAGTAATATTTGAAGAAGAATATAATATATACAGAATAAATTTTTTTAAAGAGCCTGTAAAACAACGAAAAATTATAAATTAATACATTAAATAAATATAAATATATGTAACATATTACGGTAAAGAATGTGAAATACATGGAAGTATGCCACTACATATTCGGCTAAACGTTGCTGGAATTATCGGGAATAAGGAGACAGTGTTTGGAGATTTTAAAAAACACCTGCTGTCACTCAGTGCTTAAAGGTGACCAGAACACATCTAGTGTGAATGTGAAAATGCATTAATAATAATAATAATAGTAATAATAAATACCCTGATTCTACAGCAAGCTCGGATCTGATGACTGACTGAAAAGGTTAACATATGCCCATTTTGATTTAAATAAATATCCCTTGCTAGTCAATCGCCTGACCATAACCAGTCGGGTATATAGATAGCTGAGCAGATATGGAGGGAAAGGGATAGCCACTGGTCCCTGTGGAATGAAGTGAAAACACACGACAGGGAAGGACACTGGAGTGTTAGAGTTCTGAAAGAATCAGCGCATATGCTACGGTATGAGGATCTCCTTAGTCGGCCTAGCATAGAAATAAATACAATATGGGAGCTGCTAACAAAGAAAAAATACACATGTCAGCATGTCTTCAACCACAGCAGCAGCAACAATTGCAACATAATGAGCAGTTAGGTTAGGTTTATGGTTCCAAGTTCACGACAATGTCCTCGTGGATTAAAACGTTGGTTTGTGATTTGATGAGTGTGAGTTCATTCCCTGTGTCAGACAATGTGTGCTTGCGCTCAATGGAAACGGGTGAACAATAACTGAGCAGTACCAAATAAAAATAATAACTAGATGATAGGACTAGACATGAGCAGTGGAACGAAAACAGTTTGCCCCCATAGATTAAATAAAAGGGTCCTGTTCAGAATTCCCAGTAGGTTACCCAGATTGATATACACCTGATGAAGGCCGCAGAGCACAACGGCAAAAACGTTGTGATAATAACAACAAAGATGAGGATATTAGTTCGAATATAGTGTAAATTAGGATAACTCCTCATCCCAGAAATTATCTTAGACAAAAGGATTACGCATGAACGATGCTCCCTGAGGTGGGGAGGAATGAAAGAGAAAAGAAAATATATAACATATATGTAATAAGCAAATAGTATTATGTCGGGATCCTAAATAAATTAAAATTAATATTGAAGAGATTTTAGGGTAATATTACATCTGAAAGGTATTACGAGTTATAAGAAAGAAAGAAAGCAGTAGAAAAATGAAGACTTAGAAAGAAAGAAAGAAAGAAAGAAAGAAAGAAAGAAAGAAAGAAAAATCAGTAGAGAAATGAAGAATTAGAAAGAAAGTAAGAAAGAAAGAACGAAAGAAAGAAAGAAAGAACGAAAGAAAGAAAGAAAGAGAGTTTTGTGACGTATGGTGGCCGTTAATAATTAAGTATAACTCAAGACTTCAATGTTAAGATAAAACAGTATTTAATGACAACCGCAAATAAATACTTAATAAGAAAAAGAAGTAAAAGTCAACCAAAGATAATCAACCATTTTAGTGAATATCTTGTTAGTAGCACGGCTCAATTTAACGTCAGTTAAATCCCAAATCATCGACACACACTAATTCACACTAATTCGACTGGATAGTTCCACTCAATAGTTACTCAATAATCAGCGCAGTCAGTAGCCTGACATCACTACTTATACACCTGTTGGAAAAATATATTCCTATGCCCAGAGTATCACGCTCGAACTTCGGTGTCGGTAGTTACTCATTTTCTTCCTATCTGACACAGAGAAAGAAAGTAAGCAGAGAAATTAAGAATAAAAAAACAAAGAGAAAAAGAAGGATGTATAGAAATGTAGAATTAGAAAGAAAAAAAAATCAACAAAAGAAAGCCGTAGGGAAATGAAGAATTAGAAAGAAAGAAAGAAAAAAGAAAGAAAGAAAGAAAGAAAGAAAAAAAGAAAGAAAAAAGAAAGAAAGAAAGAAAAAAGAAAGAAAGAAAAAAGAAAGAAAGAAAGAAAGAAGTTGAGAAATTAAGAAGTAGAAAGAAAGAATGAAAAATGAGAAAAAATGAAAGAAAACAAGAAAGACGTAAAGTAATGAAGAAGAGAAAGAAAGAAAGGCATGTAAAATAAGAAAAAAGATGTAAAGAATTTAAAAAAAAATAGAAAGAAAAAAGAAAGACAGAAAGGAAGGAATTAACAAGTAAGATTAAATAAAGAAATGGACAATGGAAATAGAAGAAAGAAAGAAAGAAAGAAAGAAAGAAAGAAAGAAAGAAAGAAAGAAAGAAAGAATCTTATTAACGTTAAAAAAGAAAGAAAAATAAGAAGGGGTAAAAAACGACTGCGAAAACCAAAAGTAAAAGAAAAGAAAATAAAGAAAGAAGGAAGTAAGAAAAAAAAAAAGAAAGAAATGCAAGAAGAAAAAGAAAGAAAGAGAAAACGATTTTATCATTTTATTTGGTGGTGGGGTATTATTTACCGATTTATTAACCCCCCCCACACACACACAAACACTTTCTAATTAATGTACTATGTTTTCTCGATCTTTCTTTTCCCCTTTACAATTTTCACACTTTTCTTTTACGTTTTTGTTCTTTCTTGTTAGTTAATAAATGTTACTTAGTGCAACACAAGACTTTATTTCTTTCTTTTTTCTAGCTGTATTATTTTTCTCTCTTTCTTTCTTTCTTTCTTTCTTTCTTTCTTTCTTTCTTTCTTTCTTTCTTTTTCCAGCAACAACAAAGCCTAATTACAAAGTGCAATAAAAAACACACAAAAAAAAAAAACAATAATAAAATTACAAAGACGAACAAAAACAAAATGGCAAATCTGATAACAAATTCCTTTTTCTTGAGTCATCTGGTAAATGTCAGTCGAACTTTTAATATTATTTGTCCGTGTGTATTTGTGAGTTCGGAGTAAGGAGGGAGAGAGAGGACTGCAAATGTGGGGTAAGGGATTCTCTTCTTTTCAGGGTAGTAGGAGGTAGACAACCTTTACTAGGATTCCTGTTCCGAATTTTTACATTTCATTCAAGGGACCGAGCGAACTATGTAAAATAATGTATCGGAAGAAAGAAAGGAAGAAAAAAAAGAAAGAAGGAAAGAAAGAAAGAAGAAAATGAAAAGGGATAGAGAGAATATGATTAGAGAAATATATGAATGAAAAAGAGAGAAAAAAATATGCTTTAAAAATTAAATGGGAAGTCGTTAGATCGAGAAAAAACATTGGAAAGAAATGAGTAAAGAAAGGATGAAAAAAAGGAAAGAAAGAAAAGGAAAAAGAAATAAACAAAAAAAAAAGAAATAAAAAAGAAGAAAGAAAGAAACCAATCAAGAAAGAAAGAACAAAGAAAGGTAGAGTGAAAGAAAATGAAAAGAAAACAAAAGAAAAAAAAAAAAAAAAAGAAAAGAAATAAAAAGAAAAATAAAGGATAAGAAAGAACGAAAGAAAGAAAGCGAGAAAGAAGGCGAGAAAGAAAGAAACACATAGTTATAAATGAAAAAATCGACAATAAGAATCGAAAACAATTTTTCTGTCATTCAGAGCAGACAAATAAATAATTCGTAAGAAATTCTAATTTTTTTCTTATATTTTCATATTTAATTACGCAAAAAAAAAAGAAAGAAGAAATAACGTAAAAGGAATTAAAAGAGCATCATCAATAAATAAATAAAAGAAAAAAAATTCTATCCGACCTTATTTAATAGATTGATTTTTCTGAAGGTAGAATTTGCGAACTATCGATAATGTAAGATTTAATATCAGAAAAAAATGATATGCAACGATATTTGTTACATTTTCTTTTCATAATATTATTATTATTATTATTATTATTATTGATAATAATAATAATAATAATAATAATAATAATAATAATAATAATAATAATAATAATATTACCATCATGATGATATCCTTTGATTTTTGGTGTTATGGCCTTGGGTTTCCTCCAGAGACCTAAGGCCATATATGGCATTATGACATTTTCCAGTGTATATCCTAAGAGCACACATTTTGCATAGAAAAAGCCTTTCGTAAGGTGTGAGCTGTACTTGTGAGCTGTACTTTTTTTGGCATTTCTTTAAGGCTTGGGCATCAATGAGTCTATCGGAACCTTTTCCAATCAAACCAAGGATTCCAACCACAACTGGAATTATTGATATTTTGATGTGCCACATTTTTTGAGATTTCCACTTTAAGATGCTTGTATTTTGATAGTTTTTGAAGATCTTCAAAGATACATTACAATCTGCAAGAAAATTATTATTATTATTATTGTTGTTGTTGTTGTTGTTGTTGTTGTTCATACCAATTCACCTTCTTGCTTTTAGCTTTTCCATTTGTATTTAGTTTTTCCATTTCCAGTCAATCTCCTTCCTTTCATTTCTCTTTCAATCTGTCAGTCTTCTCTTTTTTCCACGTTCATTTATTTCCCTTCGTCTATTTCTCCTTTCAATTCACCATCTTTAACATTTTTTCTATCCTTCATCTTTGTCCGCTCCAATCCGAACACGTTCTCCTCTTGCCCCACTGTTAAATTTATCTCCTTCTATTTGTCCCTCTTTCCGTTGATTTTCATTCTCTTCCCCAGTCATTCTCCTCCTGCTCTTTCTTCTTCTTCTTCTTCTTCTTCTTCTTCTTCTTCTTCTTGTCAATCGTACTCTCTTCCTCTCTCTTATCTCAATAGTCTTCTGTCTCTCTACTCTCTATCCACTCTCTACTCTCAACAATTTACTCTCTACTTTCGATTTTCTACTCTCTACTCTCGACCTTCGAGTCTGTACTCTCTACTCTTGACTCTTTACTTTCTACTCTCAAATCTCTACCCTCTACTCTTGACTTGTCTCTTTCCTTTGTTCGCCCCCGCATTCAAATTTTTACGTTCTTGTGGAATTAATAAACATTAAACACTTTAAATACATTGCTGTATGGATCACTTATAACACATTTAGTATTGAACATTAAGAAATAGAATAAGCTGCGTTCGGGGAAGTTTCACCCAACACCGCTGCCTAAAATCTTTGAACCTCAATCATTAAGCTAAAACATCGAGTCATATTTTTAAAGAACCCCGTCAGATCCAACCGTTTCACAATTGTCTAAACTATCAGTTATATACAAACGTTTCCTCAAAGCAATGACTAAAAATGGCTACAAGTGAATGAAATCTGGAGGAATAATCATCTTCAGATTACATTGCTACTCAATCGCAATGAACTATAACCAAATAACAGAAACCAAACATTTGAAGACTTTCAACATCAACAACAACTAAAATTGGTAGCACATGTAACCCGAAAGGAAAATAAAGATATAATGAAGATGTGAACTTTATACACTATTTTAAACAGGTTAGGAAGAAAACCACTATGAGTAGTAGAAAGAGCGATAATAGTTAGTGGCCACGAGAAACTTTTTTTTTTCTGACACAACTATTAAAAGATAATTTTATAAATTTCAACCGGCAGTAAAGATACCTCTTCGCTCAATGAATGGCAGATGTTTCCTGCAGGGAAACGATTAATCTCACCAATATTATTACCATTAGTTTAATTTATTCTTCATTTTAATATATTTCCTTCTTATTTCCATCGTCTTATTTCCATCGTTTATTCTTCATTTTAATATATTTCCTTCTTATTTCCATCGTCTTATTTACATCGTTTTTGTTTTCATAATTTTTACTTACTATATAAGGAGACACAGTAGAGAAATGGATTGCAGGGTTCGAATTCCAGTCGAGATCATCACATTCACTTACGTGCTAACCTTGGAAAAACTATGAATCCAACTCTTCTCCCCACCAGCTATGGGTAAATAATAGGACGGACTGGATTTTATAGCCTTGGAGAATGAAAACTCTGAATTCAAAACAGCATGTAACCCTGGCGGAGCAGAAATTATGCAGCTAAAGAAAGGATCGTTCACATTGACTCAATGAGCCAGACTAGGGCCGAATATTTTTTAACTGTTTTTTCATTCATTTCATGACTTCATTTTTATTCGTCGTTTTTCGTTATTATTATTTTTTTAAAAATTTTCCTTCATTTCTATTTACCTTTAAAACTTGTCTAACTTTTCCACCTTTCTCGTTGATGTTATTTTTCTTTTTGCCAACTATTCTTCTAAATAAATAAACGGTAAATTCTGTCTGAAACAAGGGCAAGTGTGGCCCTATAACTCGGGCCACACCTGCTCTGCATAGTCATATTATACCAGCTACACAGCGAATTCAATGGTACCATTTATCTTTTAATATTTCTTGATAGTTTAAGCATTTTATCTACGTTCTCCACCAATCCTTTCATTCAACGCGAAACATTCATGTTTTTCAAAATGAGCTGAAAAAAAAGCTTATGCCATTATCAGCTGGATTAGAATGAGTTTGATGCAGTTTGTCAACAGCACTGTATAGTTAAAAGCAATTCTTTAGTCTGCTTCTGTTTTGAATTTTTCTTTAGACCAAGTTCTGACAGGTAACGCCCTTTGTACATTTCCTTTTATATTCAATGTCCTTTCCGAGCGTAACAGATTCTCCTTTATTTAAGCTGAGTCATTAATAATTTCCGTTTTTGTTTGTCAATCTCATTCTTCAAAACATAAAAGTACAATTCCATTTTATCCAATTTTTATATTCACCATAATTTGGCCACTAATCAAGCAGTTCGTCTATGTCTTCTGAATAAATTCCTGCAGGTTTTGATGTTAGAATGTTTTCGACGAACTCTTGAATTAAATGATACAAGTACATGTAAATCACTCACAAGCAACACACAGACATACGCTTATACACGGATTATAGGAGCTACATCAAAGATCTAGATCAGGGGTTAACTGTTCTTCAACTTGATCAGGGCAAACTATGGCACGCGTGCTACGCATGGTACGCCAAACAATTTCCAATGGCACGCTGCCCCAAATGACATCACGAAATTCAAACCAAAACGCAAAGGAGATATTTAGCTGTTTCAAAACTGCTTATGCGTTGGACTCCCATTAGTAATAAAAACTTAAAAAAAAAACTTTTAAAAACAGTTTATTTCTATTAATGTGGTTTACATAATATTGTATATATTGATATATAAAATATATTGTAGAACAGGTATATTGATATTGATTTGTATAAAAAGACTGAATGATTTTAAAACACTAAGTTGGTACATAGTCAGCAAAATGTTGCCGACCCCTGATCTAGATGACTGGAGCCTGATAGTTGATTTCTCCTCTGACCTTACTCGGACCTATCAAAGGTAGACGAATTGGCTTCATTACCCACTGTTATGAACAATCAAGAATGATCTCCCCTTGTTTTGTCACTCTCCTCTCTGAGAGAGCTATTTCTGTTTACTGGGACTATAAAAGGACACTATACGCGAACCTGGTATTCTCTGTTAAATAATAGCTTTCTTAAAGCCTGCTTGCGTAATTTTGTCATTAAACCTACAAGAATCAAACTAGTAACATTTCAGAGCAGACGTGAGTTTCCCTAGTCATGATGCACGGTATAAATCAGGATACATGCCTGGAACATCTATTGGGACTCAAGCTAACACTAGACCGGGATCCCGTGATGATGCTTCCCCGATCACTACAAAGTTAACGTCTTCAAGTTGAGGCTCGAACGTTATCTATTCTACTATTCATAATATGCAATTCTTACTCCCTCACTGTACGCCGTCACCGCATCCGCATTTAATAACCCTCTACCTTGAGTGCCTCTTAGGTCTTGTATTGGGCGAAGAATAGTAAAAAATATATCATATACACGCATGCAAAGTCACACGGAGACAGTGTATGACAGACAGGGAACCAACTATTCTTCTAAATAAATAAACGGTAAATTCTGTCTGAAACAAGGGCAAGTGTGGCCCTATAACTCGAGCCACACCTGCTCTGCATAGTCATATTATACCTTTTTGAAATCAGGATCCCGGGATTAAAAATCTGCCCTTCATCTGGTGCTTGAAAATCCAAGTTGGGACTTGTGTCCTAATGAGGAGGGAACAATTAAAAATTCAAATTTTAAAATAACAGAAAATAATTGGTGATTTTAAAAGATTTAAATTTATATTGTTGTTTAAAGTAACGCAAAATCTGAATAAATTTGTTTTAAATTCAGTTTAAAATATCCCCAAAACTTTGTGAATTGAGGAAATCATTTTTCTTTCTTCAAAATGCCAAGGAATCAAAGTTAAGGTAAAAGGTTTCATGACGTGAGGTTTTGAAGTTCCATGGAGTTTGTGATTTGAAGAATTCAAATTTCGACTTGGAGTTTCGGCCCAAAATACGAGCTTTGGCCCAAATCGTCCCAAATTTGTATTAGACTTATATCCCGAATTAGAGTTAAAAAAAAAAAAAAAAATGAAAAATGACGCTTTTATCGAGTTGCTGTCCGTTATCGGCCTTTCTGCTGAAATCAATGTGTAGTATCTGTCTTCACCAGCTTAATCTGATTATCTCTCCCACTTCTATCTTCCCTTATTTATTTATTTTTTACTTAAATATTTATTTATTTAAATATTTAATTATTTATCTATTTCATTTTCTCACTGAAACTAAGTAATGTTTTTTCCCCTGTTTCTATGCGCGCAAACACAAAATAGTCCATAATTTATGAGGCACTGACAGGACATAACGGTCGTGCTAAGAGAGAGAGAGAGAGACAAACACAATTATAGGATTATTATTACTTCCTTTGATTTATGTTGTATACTGATTTCCTTTCGGATCTTAACTAGAAAGCTAAGGTCAGAAATGACATCTTGATATTTTCTACTGAGCATCTTTGAAAAAAAACAAAAAAAACAAAACATAATATCACACACATTTTACATAGATAAAGCCCTTCGTAAGATGTGAGCTGTATTTGTGATTTTTAAAAAAAAAATTATTTAAATCATAGACTACCAGAGATCGCTTTAATTAGTTTATCGGAGTCATTTCCAATTAAACCGAGCGCTCAAACTACAAGTGGAATTATTGATGCCCTCATATGCCAGATTTTTAGATCCTTGTATTTTGACTATTTTCTGAAGATCATCAAAGACACATTACAGTCTTCAGGAACTGGCATGTGAATAAGAAAATAAATTCCGTTTTTTTTTTTGTGGTATTTGGTCCCTATGTGTAGGCGATCTGCTTTAATGGTTCTACCTGTGTATATTGTAAAGTTCAATAAAATTGTTACTATCGAGATCCTATCTCTGTAACCTGGTTTAGGTCGTGTTTACACCAGTTTCTTGCAGTTTCCCATCTGTAAAATTTGCAGATTTTCCAGTGCCGACATTGGCCTACTCAGTCATGACGAGTTTTATGTTCATTGGGTATTAATACCACGCAATCTGACACAAGATGGTCAATCCTTTCTGCATATTTATTACAGAATCCGCATTTCGGGCGAACATAATTTTTGAGTATGTCTGCTTGGTAAATTTTAATTAGTAAACGTTTGTCCTGTGCAGCAAGAATGAAACACCCGGTTTCAAATTCTAACCATACACTACGTAACCCTTGACGGAACGCGGTTTGTCTACATTAGATTGTTTGGTACGGCAAAATGAAGAGACTTATCTTGCTATCGTTTCTGTGTCGAGTCCATTGTATTTGTTTTTGTTTTCTTTTCTTTTTTAGGCTCTTTGCTGCTACCGTAGTTTACGGTTTACTTGTACTTCTTCACCCAATTGAAATTCCATTTTGAATTTGTTGTCTTCTTTTATTGCTGAATTATTATTGTTGTTGTTGATGTTCCTAGAACTGCAGATTGTTAGCCTTTCTACTGTAACTACATGTGTATTTCAAGCTTCTTAAATTCCACTTCAATTTCATAGAATTCCCGAGTTCCGTCTTCTTCATTATTCCTATTTTGTGATTATTACAACGAAAGAGGCTAAAAAAAGCAACAGTATCAAAATAGAAATTGCTGAATCGGCCCAAGTAATGTTCAAAGGAAATGAAGAAAAATGAAAAAAAGATCAAAGCGCTTAGGAATCTGCAAAAGCAAACAGTCGCTATTCGAGGAAGAAAAAGATTTCAAAAACAAAACGCGCCATCTTCTAATTTGTCTTTTGAGGTCATGCAATGCATGAATTCAGTGGATCAAAAAAAAAAAAAATGAAATAAAAAATAAAATAAAAGAAATAAAATATCATAAAATATTTCCTTCGTCTATTTTCTTGACATTATTTTCCTTGATTGTTGGATTCTGTGCGTTTTTCTTTCATTTCTAATTTGTATTTGGTTCCACTTTGTGTTCTGACACCGTTATTTAGAGGGCAAGTTGCTTTTTTTCTTTTCTTATTTTCTCATTTCTTACGTTTTCTTTCTTTCCTTCGAGTTCCTTCTTATCTCCTTTTCTTTCTTTTTCATTTACTTACTTCACTATTATTTCTTTCCTTTTTGCTTTTCCTATTCCCATCTTTACATACTCATTTTCTTTCTTTCTTTCTTTCTTTCTTTCTTTCTTTCTTTCTATTCTGGCCATTTTTCTCTTTGTGATTCAATCTCGTCTCTCAATTATTTTTTCCTTTACATATTTCTTTCTTTCTTTCTTTCTTTCTATTCTGGTCATTTTTCTCTTTGTGATTCAATCTCGTCTCTCAATTATTTTTTCCTTTACATATTTCTTTCTTTCTTTCTTTCTTTCTTTCTTTCTATTCTGGTCATTTTTCTCTTTGTGATTCAATCTCGTCTCTCAATTATTTTTTCCTTTACATATTTCTTTCTTTCTTTCTTTCTATTCTGGTCATTTTCTCTTTGTGATTCAATCTCGTCTCTCAATTATTTTTTCCTTTAGATATTTCTTTTTCTTTCTTTCTTTCTTTCTTTCTTTCTTTCTTTCTTTCTTTCTTTCTTAGCTAGTTTTACTTTCTTTCCTTTTTCCTTATTTTTCAATCATCATACCTTTATCATTTATTGTTTTTATTCATTCTCTCTCTCTCTCTCTCTCCCACCTTGTCTTTCTCTTTTCTCTTTAATTATGTTACCACAAGTAAGGCGATAGAACCACTAAGACGCAAGGAAGGGATACTGAGTGCGAAAAAATCTGAGTAAAAACTTTATTAAGGAGAGAGGCTAATGAAAGAACAGGAATTAACGAGACGAAAAGTGTCGACTGACGTGGCGTTAAAATATTTGAAGATCAAAGCTAAAGAAAGATTTACAAGCGATAAGTGCGAGAGAAGAAGCTGTTAGAACTTACGGTCTTACAATGATGAAGCCTGGCTGCCAATCTACAGGGTTTATGGTAAGTAGCTCCCCATTTCAAAATACTCATAATTTATTTATTAACTTTAATTTTTACAATTACAATTTACGATATGGGCACCAGATTTCGCTACCAGCTTTTTGAGCCGCTCAAGAATCACGTCAACTGATTTCAACAGGAACTCTTGTGGTATGGAAGACATAACTTCTTGTATTTGCACATCAAGTTCTTTCAAAGTCTATGTTTGATATAGTCAGCTTGCTTCTTTAACCAACCTCAAAGAAAAAAGTCATAGGCTGTTAAAATCAGAACTCCTGGCTGGACACTCATACATAAAATAAGGAGTTACTTTTCAATCTCCCTTGAGCTTAAACTCGTGAAGACGAGATATCAAGAAACTGTTCCTTTCCAAAATATTTCACCGAACGAATCAATACATTTTCGATCTATCGATTAGATTTTATCAACAACATCCTCGTCCTGGGTATGACGATAAATTAAATCCAACGGCAAGGCCTCTGATGGGGAAGTTTTGAGGAGCGTGGAACCAACTCTTAATGGATGCATTTCCCAGCCCTACCCTGGCCCTTGGCAGCAAAACCTGTTAGAGACCCAACTATGAGCAAATAATTAACTCGGATCAAGACCCTATGAAAGTATAAACATAGATTTTTATAGTAAAAACACCAATACGTTTTTTAAAAAAAAATTCCAGCAATACATTTGATTGTCGACAAAAAACCCTCTTTACAAAAACACGTCAATGAAACCTGATCTACAAACTGACTTCTTACAAATACTTATTCTCTTCATGAGAACCTATCCTAAAAATCATGCCAGCATTAAATCAACCATTGGGGTTGATATGTCGTAAAACAAAATAAACAAAACGAATCAATAACATCCTTGTAAAAATATATTACCTATTCTTGTAAATAAAGTAAACAGCCGACAACGGAATTTACTTATTAGTCAGTAAGAAACCATACATTATCGTTTCTTGATATCATGTTAAATTTTAATGATAGTGATCACTGATCCCTATCGACAATTCCTTAACAAAAATGATCTAAAAAAAATTCTACTTGTATCACAACAAAATAAAATCCGCTATAATTGCAACTTTAAACAAATGAAATTGTAGTCAGCAGTATTTACAGGATGGGGAAAATACATTCATAATAATTTAAATTCTTCTAATTAATTATTTTACTTACATATAATGCAAATAAGAAAGGTTACAACGTCCACAAAAATAAATGAAAATAGTACAAATAACAAAGCACATAATACTACCTAAGAACTGAGAAACGACAATAAATGAAAAGAAATTTAATTTAAAATATATCACAACTACAAAAACAATATTTGTCTATATTTATGAGATGAGCGATTGTAATTATTTACATTATTTAAATCGTTCGGGCTGTTGTCCTCCTCTTTATTGCCATATTTATAGTTGAATATGCAAATAGTTTAAATAATTACATAAACAATAAGAGAGTTAACCGGAATCAGAAAATGATTAAAATGAATGAATACTACTTGGATTAAAATCGAAAATAATTTCGTAAGGTGAAAATATATTGAAAGTGAACTAATCACGAAAACCTTTACAGTGAATTTACAATTATGCAGCGTATATTCCCTCTTTACAAAACTACTACTGAGACAATGATGGACAATTAAACGAATAGTGATAAAAAGCAAAATGACTTTAGCTAATTTAAATATTTAGATGTTTGTATCTTTAATATTTTCGATTTTTGTGGCCCCCACCCACTGCCTTTCATTTCATATAGAAAACTAATTTCATAAAATCGTGTTGTTAGGTTGACGAAGTTGCTTCTCAGAGCGAAACACTTCATATATAACTTTTCCTTCATTTGTGACTCTCTATTTGGCGTATGTGTGCGTGTATATACATATATATATACATATATATATATATATATATATATATATATATATATATATATATATATTTAAGCGGTTCACCCCAAGCAAGGCGAGAAGCCACTAGGACACAAGGGGTTACAGAAAATTTGGAGCAAGATCAGATAGGAGTGATAGAAGAAAGAATGAGGAGAAGGGTAGTGGATAGATCAAGGCAACTGGAAATGTTGATTGACATTATAATTGAATAGCTGGAGATTATAGCTCTCAGGGAAACTGGAATAGGGAAGGGAGTGCCACAGGCGAGAGGTGTGAGATATGAAGCTATTGGAGTAGAAGAGATGGCTACATTTAGGAGTTTCGACAGTGAAAGGGTGAGAGCAGGATGCCAGCCTCGTAGGGTGCTTGAACTCATGATGTCTGGGAAGCAGCGAATGCAGCTCCTCGGAGCAATTGCCATGAAAGTATTTGTAAAACAGACAGAGAGAGGCGACGGCGCGTCTGTGAGAATGTGACTGTAGACGAGATGCCAGAGCAGGGCCAATTATATTGCATATCCGCCTCTGGAGCTTATCAAGGACTCCGAAGCAAACAGAAGGGGCTCCAGACCATATATGGCAGAAATTCTCCACGCAAGGGCGAATTGTTGATTTGTAGATCTGGAGGATCGATTCCGGGGAGAAAAATTTCCTGGCGCGGCACAGGGAACCAACTTTCCTTGCGGTGGATGAAGCAGTTGACTCAATGTATTTGTTCCATCTCAGGTCAGCAGTCAACGTGAGACCGAGCAGCCGCAGAGAGGTTCTCTCGAGAAGTTGAGCGTCAGACATTCTAATGGAGGGCAGGGAAGGATCTCTGTGGTGATTAATAGAGAGCAGTTTTGTTTTTCAGGCATTAAAGTTGACCAGCCAATTCCTGCCCCAGTTCACAATCGATTGGAGGTCCTTTTCAAGACGCACGGCCAGGTTAGTTTTGTCAATGACACTAGATTTGTTTTTGAGGCAGGAATAAATTGTGGTGTGATCCGCGTAGATGCCAACTTGGGAATTTATGGCGTCAGGAAGGTCATTTATGTAGATAAGGAATACAGTGGGGCCTAGGGTGGAGCCTTGAGGAACACCTGCGTTCGTAGGATAGTAACTGGAGAAGAATCCGTTGAGAATGACCTTCAATTCACGGTTTGACAGGAATGATTGTATTAGGTCAAACAATCGACCCGTAATGCCATAACACTGGAGCTTGCAAAGAAGGCCGGCATGCCAAACCCTATCAAACTTATATATATATATATATATATATATATATATATATATATATATATATATATATATATATATATATCCCATTTATTTTAAATGCCAAATATATTTTAAAAAAAAAAAATGTAATCCCAATAAAACATAACAGATATTTTTATTAAAATTTAAATTACGTAAAGAGAAGCACCTGAAGGTTCCGTTGTGCATGAAACTCAGATTCGTGTTAGCAGTGGTGCGGGTATGTATAATTATTGATATATACGTAATAGTTCTTTTTTGTTATCACCAGCATTATATATATATATATATATATATATATATGTGTGTGTGTGTGTGTGTGTGTGTGATAATTCGTATGGCTAATTCCAAAGAGGATATAAATCCAAAGAGAGCTCAATGTAAGCACAGAGCAAATGATAATGATGAAAGCGGAGACTTTAGAAATCCATGGCAATATTTTATTTCACAAGATTGATTAATTGATCTCGTCTCAACAGACCAAACGGTTTCACAGCCATAAATTAAATTTCAAAATTCCTGTAGGAACAAGCGAGAAAGAAATTTCCAAACATAAGATGGTTTTTAAATATAAGTTTTAGTATGGGGGAAGGGAATAAGAGAAAAAGACCAAGAGGGAGAAAGAGAAGCAGATATGTATGATTATATATATATATATATATATATATATATATATATATATGCATGTAGAAAAGAAAAAGTTACAAATATAATGTTTTAATTAAGGGAATAAAGAAAGGAAGGGGGAGAGATATAGAGAGTGAATGAAAAGAACGGGAAGAAGGAAGACATAACTGATGAGGGAATAGCAAAAATAAATAAATAGAATGACCTAGAAAAAAATTTTCCTTAAAAGGGATGAACATGTTAATTTACTGGGTAAAGGAAAGAAGAGGGGATTGGAAGAGAAACAGTTACAAAAATTTGTGTCATAAAGTCATGTCATTTTAGACAGCAATATCATATCATAATACGATCATCATAATTTTAAATTAATAATAATAATAATAATATCCAACATAAATAATATAATATAATGCAATAATATAATAGAATAAATAAATCAATAAATAGGGCTAATAAATTTAGATAAATATAAAGAACAAATTTTAAACATAAATAATGATAACGATAAAAATAAAAATGATAAAACAGTGTAACCCGGATATAAGAGAGTTGTCGGAACCGGAGAAGAACTCTCTTATATCCGGGTTTCTCTTATATCCGGGTTTGGTCTATTTTATATACATTAACACATGCTCTAATTTGGGACCAGAGAATATCTCTCTTATATCCGGGTTTCTCTTATATCCGGGTTTGGTCTATTTTATATACATTAACACAGGCTCTAATTTGGGGCCAGAGAAAATCTCTCTTATATCCGGGTTTCTCTTATATCCGGGCTTGGTCTATTTTATATACATTAACACAGGCTCTAATTTGGGACCAGAGAAAATCTCTCTTATATCCGGGTTTCTCTTATATCCGGGTTTGGTCTATTTTATATACATTAACACAGGCTCTAATTTGGGACCAGAGAAAATCTCTCTTATATCCGGGTTTCTCTTATATCCGGGTTTGGTCTATTTTATATACATTAACACAGGCTCTAATTTGGGACCAGAGAAAATCTCTCTTATATCCGGGTTTCTCTTATATCCGGGTTTGGTCTATTTGATATACATTAACACAGGCTCTAATTTGGGACCAGAGAAGAACTCTATTATATCCGGGTTTCTCTTATATCCGGGTTTGGTCTATTTTATATACATTAACACCGGCTCTAATTTGGGACCAGAGAAAATCTCTCTTATATCCGGGTTTCTCTTATATCCGGATTTCTCTTATATGCGGGTCTCTTATATCCGGGTTATACTGTATTATTAATAATAGTAAAATATAAAAATATAAATGATAAAAAAACAAATGAAAAATTATAAATGATGAAGGCATCAACAAGACAATCACATAAATGGTTAAATATATATACAGACAGAAAATGTGTGAACAGCAATATGATTACATATATATATATATATATATATATATATATATATATATATATATATATATCAGTGAACGTCAAGAGGGAATTTTTTTTTCATGGAGGAAATCTATAACATAATTCTGCTTTGTACGCACTTTCATATCAGACGCTATTTTGCCAGCCTTTCCTTTCAGCTGTTATCTGGAAAAAAGACATAACTTCATGGTTTATTAACGGAAAACTTTCTAAAACTTCTGCCGTGCCATCAATATTCGCCTCTGACGTCATAGAGAAAGAAAAGAAAAGAAAATAAGCCTTATTTTCAAAGAAACCTTCCAAAAAAAGACACGCACACGCGCACACACACATACACACACACATATATATATATAATGTTTGTGCAGGTAGAGTGGTTCGTTGAAAGAGACTCGAAAACTTAATAATAATAGTAATAATAATAAATAACAATAATAACATTGTATATTGTTGGGTCAATGGACAAATACAAGCAAGATGAGAATATACAGGTTGCGATGAATAAATTGTTGTCTAAATGACGCAAAGATGAAAATAACACTGACATCACATTTTAAAATATATATTTACCAAAATTACACAAAAATATTTTGAAATACTAAAGAGTAAATTCATTCAATATAATCGCTATTGGCTTGAATCACGGCTTCTAGATGTCTTTTGAATCTCTTGCAACTCTTCTGTCGAGTCTCCTTATTTAAGTTGGTGACTGCTGCCATAATCCTTGCCTTCAGTTCATCTTTGGTGTTACAAGGAGTTTTTTTAGCCTCTCGCTCAACTGTGCCCCACACATAATAATAATCAATGGGGTTGCAATCTGGGGTGTTAGGTGGCCAGATGCAAGGGGTAATGTAGCCGCAGAAATTGTGTCTGATAGCCACGACTGGGTTCTCCTGGTTGTGTGTAGAGTCCTGTTGCCTGACAGAGGGTCTTCCAGCAGCCACACTCTTGACCCAAGACTGCACTCCATCTTCAAGGCACTTGATGTAGGAGTCCGTGTTGAGTCTAAGGCCCTCACCAACAAATTTGGGAGCTATTTTCTTATCAGAACGATCAGAGTTATTTTCCAAGCTGCCGTACTTTAGTAATCACCATTAGACTCATCCAACTCTGCATTGTCCTCAGATTGACAACCAGACACACGGAAATGTTCGTATTGGAGCTTCCGGTGCGAATGCCAAGCAGTACAGCATGCCGTTTCCAAATATCTGGTGGAATGAATTGCGTTATGGTACTCTTTTTCTCACAGACAGTTCCCATCTGACCTTTTTATACTGTGCGGTCGACAAAAATAAAAAAAAAAAACGCGCGAAATTAAAAATATAAAATGGCGATAATTTACCCATCGCACCCTGTATATAAGAGTGACTTGAAATTGATTCCATGAAATGTGAGAACACTCTTATTAAGAATCAGTCGCGTAACTAAACACAGAACAATCCTTGAAAATCAATGTAACAGCAGCCAAAAGTAACCGGAAAAAATGCTGAAAAATAAAAGTCAATGGGAATGTTGACAAATTTACCGATAACACACACACACACACACACATACACACACACACACACACAAAAATAACTATACTTGGTGGACAGAAATTGCTCATATTATTTAACAAAACATGTTTGAGAGAATTCTTGCTGCCGAAATATATCTTAGATTTTTAAAATAAAATGGACGTCATTACTTAACCTTTCGGGCCCTTTAGGTAATCGTTGGCAAAGCAAAAAAAAAAACAAAAAAACAACAACAAAAAAAAAGCACAATTGAAGACGTATTAATAATAAATAACCAATGAGGATGGAAAGTTGAAACGCGATTAAAATAAATTTTAATTGTAAATAACTTAACGACTAAAAAACTAGGAAGTTCCAAAAAGAGTATAAAATAAAAAAAAAAGTCACTCACAATCAATCGATCAAACGTAAAGAACGAATAAAATGTTTTGTTTACAATATACACTCGGCTGATGAAATATGACGTAAACAGCGTCAAGGACTCGGAAATGGTGAACCGTGCAAGCACAATATAAAGTGGAAAAAATGTGTCATCATAATCGGCCGTACAATCAGAGTTGTCCAGCAAATGACACTACTTGTACACTACTTGAGTAATTCTTCGATTGTGTTTTTTTTTTTTACTACGCCAAAGATTACCTTTTGAAAAAGCGTTGGCCGAAAAGGTCCTAAATGTTAAATAATGACGACCATTTTATTTAAATATATATGTATGTGTGTATGTGTGTGTGTGTGTGTGTGTGTGTGTGTGTGAGAGAGAGAGAGAGAGAGAGAGAGGGGGTAGGTGTGTGTATATGTATGTATGTATAGAAATTAGTAGTGTCGGCAGAGGAATCGAAACACGTCAATGTTGTCTTTACACATGTTTTGAAGATAGATTTGGACCCCTGACAATCACCAAGCAATGTTGATTCCTAAATCGACACACTGTTTATCTGTTTATATATATATATATATATATATATATATATATATATATATATATATATATATATATATATATAAACGTTCTATCTGCGATTTTGAGCACTCTTCCTCCTGTGATCATAGCAAATTTTAAACAATATATATATATATATATATATATATAAAGAGAGAGAGTGATTTTCATTACTTTAGAATGAAGATTCTTTTGTAGAATTTTCCTTTTATTTTCTTTCTTTAAAGATTTATATCTTCTGTAATTTTAAATGGTTAAAGAAAGGAATTTGCTCTCAGAGGAAAAAAAGCAAATATTCCGAGATCAGTTTCTTTATAAAAGTGTCAAGAATTCAATATTTTTCCTTCTGACCTAAATTAATTACCGACGGTTTTGATTTCTTGTTTAAACGAATTTGTTTCCTTGAATTCGTCCGCTGTTTTCTTTACATTCTGATATTTCATTTCATTCTTATTTTAATTTCATTCTTGTATTCTTTTCATTCTTATATTCTTTTTATTCTTATATTCATAACGAACAAGTGTGGAACAAGGTATTTATTTGTTTTGTTTAAAAAAAAAAGAAGGCTATAAGTAAAATTTATAAATAAATAAATAATTCCACATCAATAAATTAGTTATTTTAAGGAACATTTAAGCCATAAACCAAATCATTGCCGTTGTTCTTTGATGATTTTATTTGGATTCATTAATTCTTTGTTTTCTTTCATTTAGTCTCTTTTGTTATTTCTGTTTCGACTTCATTAAATCTTTTATTCGTGTATTTATTACCCTTTTTTTAAACAGCATTAAAACATGGCTTATATTTATCGATCCTATTCTTTTTCTACAGTCTGTATATGTGTACATTGTTTTTATTATCGATCTATAGCTATGAATGCAATTTTCAATCATCTATCTATCTATCTATCTATCTATCTATCTATCTATCTATCTATCTATCTATCTCTCTCTCTCTCTATATATATATATATATATATATATACATATATCAATCTGTTCAGATCTATCTATCTATCTATCTATCTATATATATATATATATATATATATATATATATATATATATATATATATATATCAATCTGTTCAGATCTATCTCTCTCTCTCTCTCTCTATATATATATATATATATATATATATATATCAATCTATTCAGATCTATCTATATATCTATCTATCTCATTCTGTTCATTATCTATCTATCTATCTATCTATCTATCTATCTATCTATCTATCTCTATCTATCTCAGTTTGTTCTTGATGTAATGAATATTCATACACCTGGGCACCCCGTCACAGTAATATGATTGGCTAGTGTCAGCCATAAATACAGACTGATGTGGACATACGGAAGGGGCGCCTATTGTTTTCGCCTATTGCCTAACACTTCGACGAGGACCAGTCCATTACGATTACCTGCAAGATTGTCCTACCCGGTTACAATAGTCCAAAATCACTTTGTTACTTCGAACAAATATATCCCTTTCCGGGACATATCAGTTCTTTACCTATCTATCTATCTATCTATCTATCTATCTATCTATCTATCTATCTATCTCAGTCTGTTATCTATCTATCTATCTATCTATCTATCTATCTATCTATCTATCTATCTATCTAAACATTGACTATCGACTCATTAAACGAGTATGACCACAGTTGACAAATTTCATCTATGTCGTTTGGGAACAGCAATGGGTCTTGAATCTTGCGTGTTTTGTGAAGTGTATTCAGTAGGTTCGTGGGTTGTTATGTGATGGGTGACCACCGGAGCTGCTTAGGAGGTTTTCTGACACACCCTGTACGATAAGTTGTTCCCAGTGTAGTACTGACCGTAATTTCTGAAAGGTCTACCAATGTGACGTTTTCTGTGTCTAGCAAGGCCTGCAGTGGAGAGACATACTATGCCGCATTCATCACCTATAAGGTGGTCGATTGTTGGATCAATGGTTTCCCTTTTCCGAGAGGCAAGCTTGACATTTGCTCAACTTATTGCTTAAGAAAGGTTCGATGTTTCATAGCTTACCTTTTGTACGATATCACGCACGCACACACACATTCTCTCTCTGTCTCACACACACACACACACACATCTATCTATCTATCTATCTATCTATCTATCTATCTATCTATATATATATATATATATATATAGGGCGCGATTGATTAACTTTTGTCTAAATGACACAAAAATGAAAAAAAATAACACTGACATCTCACTTTAATATATATATATATATATATATATATATATATATATATATATATATATATATATATATATATATATAACACACACACACACACACATATATATATATATATATATATATATATATATATATATATATAACCAATGGGCCCTTAAGGTTGTTTGTTTTCTGTTTAAATTAATAATTGCTCTGATTTGACATTGAGCTCTCTGGATCACATCCCCCCTTGGGATTATGCATACGGATTATCAAACTTTTAGCTTCTTATACAAATAAGTTGAGCTATCTTTGAATTACTTTCCGTCGGATTCCTTTAAGATTTCACGCTTTCAACCAAAATATGGAAAAATTTATGCCGGATTATTCACTCATAAACAGTCCTTAGCCTTCTGTACAATCGTTTACCATTTCCTTAACTGAAAAAAAAATATTGATCTCATTAAAAGAATGAGATGGAAACTCTCCTTCTATTTAATCCTCAAAACAAACCTAAAAACCAAAATGAAACTTTTAACTTGAAATCCCAAAACACTCCACCTAGTAATAAGTTATTAGAACCTTTTGAGCTTGACTTTAACTTAATTAAAAAGATATCTTTTAAAAAAAATTCAACCCATTCACATCCCAACTCAAAAAGGATATTAGAGATATCAAAAACTCAAAGAAATTATGGATCAAAGCTGATCCAAGAATATCTACAAAACTGATCCATCTCATTCTAAATAAAAATCTCTACCTCATATAAAATAGACAGAAACTGTAAATCTCTATCCTCTATAAATAAAGAAATTGCTAAATTCACTTATAAATATAATATTGCTGAAAGAGTGGGTACAACTCACTTGAAAAACGCCTACCTACTTTTTAAGGACCATAAACCCAATTATAAATAATCTGCAGTCCAAACTGACGAATCCTTCCAAATCAGAGTTAGGCCTAATTTCCAAAAATATCCTTAAAAATAAACACATCTATATTAGAAAAATACCCTTCAAACCTTTTGAAAGCTTCCTCAGATACCATTAATTGGTTTCAGAATATAAATTCTAAGACTAAAGATTCCTTTATTCAATTAGATATTATCGATTTCTACACTTCCATTTCTAAAAAAATATTAGAAAATAGCTTGGATTTTGCTAAAAACTATACTAAACTATTGACGATGAAATAAAAATTATAATGGCTTCCAGACAGTCTATACTAGTATTTAATGACTCCCTTTGGGTTATAGAAAACAGTGAAACTTTCGATGTTCCTATGGGAGCATATGATTCAGCCCAAATAGCAGAATTAGTATGTATATACATTTTAGATATTCTAAGTAGATTCTTAGACCCACAAAATATAGGGCTGTACAGAGATGATGAACTCATTGTCATAGCTAATGCCAATGGCCCTCTAATCTCCAAACTACAGAAGAAATTATTAAGGCCTTCAAATTTCTGGGGTTCAAAATTGACTGATTATCCAACTTAAAAATCGTTAATTTCCTAGATGTTACATTTAATCTCTACAATAACACCTTCAAACCTTTCCAAAAAAAAAAAAAAAAAAAAAAAAAAAAAAAAAAAAACCCATGTCAACTCGAATCACCCTAAAGCAATTATAAACCAAATTCCTAATACAGTGAACGCCAGAATAAACAAACTATCTTCTAGTCGCCACATTTTTTAATGAAAGCAAATTTAAATATAATCAAACTCTCTTAAAGTGTAAATTCCAACAGGCATATAGGTTACTCTATAGAAAAACAACTAACAACGCGTCAAATAAATCCAAAAACAGAAAAAGGAAGATCATATGGTTCACCCCTCCATTCTGCAAATTATCCAACATCAATATAGGAATGTACTTCTTAAACTTAATAGCTAAACACTTTAGTATAAACAAGACTCTGAATTTTTTTTTTAATAAAATGAATTTGAAAATTAGTTACTCATGTGTGAACAATGTAGAGAAAATTATAAACTCTCGCAATAATAATATTATTAGAGAATTTAAGGCTAATCAATTACAAAAATTGCTTCTGCAGAGTAAAAACTGAATGCCCAGTGGAAGGAATATATATGACAGAAAATGTGGTGTACGAAGCCACGATCTCCGCCAAAGAAAAAACAAAACAAAAAACGATTTATATTGGAATATCTGCTAGGAATTGGAAACAGCGTTTTTATAACCATCGCCATTCCTTCACTAATGAATCCCTTAAACACCCCTTTCTATTTAAACGATCGCTCTAGCCGTTACCATGGAAATTTTGATTTCAATAATGAATATGCTATTAAAACACATAAATTTCAGAAATAAGTTATTTCCAAAAAATTTCGCTTGACGATGGAACAGAGCTTACTTTAATTCAATTTAATTCAAATAATTATATTGAAGTTTTCGGCTCTTGTTTTGAAACATGAGAACTCTTATATAGCGTGTTGGAATCATATTTTTAAATAAATAATTATAGTTATGCTCTACTTTTGTATCGAGCACTATTTTTTAAAAATGATAACAAGTACTAAAGAACTTTGGATTATTTACCTAACGAGTTCTTTCCTATTTTCTATATATTTTCACACACACACACACACACACACACACACACACACACACACACATATATATATATATACGTATTAATATATATATATATTAAAATATATATATATTTTAAAAATATATATCTATTAATACATGTATATATATATATATATATATATATATATATAGATAGATAGATAGATAGATAGATAGATAGATAGATAGATAGATAGATAGATGTATATAAAAAGAAAGACATGAACCCACAGAAAAACAAAACGGATTTAAATAAAGACGACGCCATTATATATACCTTGAAGGATTCCCTTTCAGCCAAGACTTTAAAAAAGTTGACGTTGGTGCAATTAAGCAAAACAAGAAACATATTTACAAAAATAGCGAATAAGGAGGAGAAATTGAAACAAGATTAAAATAAATTTTTAATCGTAAATAATTGCCGATTAAAACAGATATTAAAAGTTTCCAAATACAAACGTGTGTAATATATATATATATATATATATATATATATATATATATATATATATATCGGGATGTTTATATAAATCCTTGGCAGGATTTAGTTAGAACTTTAGAAAAACGTATGTCTAGCTTTTATGGTCTCAGTAGGTCTCGAATTTCTGGTTTAGGTTTTATCAGTTCCTTTTGAAGTTTTGATTCAATATCTCTATTTCATTTTTTTTTTATTTAAATGGTTGTATTTGCGGTATATATGACAGCTTGTCCGGGGTCAAGCAATTTCTTTTGATGGTTTGTTAATCCATGGTGGGAAATAATCATTGTTCTTATCCTGTCATACATACACGCACAAATACACACACACACACACACACACACACATATATATATATATATATATATATATATATATATATATATATATATATATATTAGATTTGCTCTAGTTATTTTTATTTTACTCGTGTCGGAGGTTTTTTTTTTGTAGTCTGAGCTTGGATTCTGGTCGATTGGTTTCGCCTGAATTACATGTTCTTAGTTCTTTCTTTTTTTTTCCTTATTTTACCTTGGGTATTGGTTTGTTCATTTACAAGCCAAAACACCTAAGGTTTTTCGAACGAGTATACTTATTTATATTTATAAGGTTATATATATATATATATATATATATATATATATATATATATATATAGTTTTACTTTCATTTCTAAATAATTAATAATTTTTCAATGTTCCTTGCGAAGTTCCTCCATGGAGTGCTTGATAAGGACATCGTGAAACATTATTTTATTTTCAAACATCGTGCGTATGGCAGTATCGTCTGCAATGTTTCGTTAAATTTTTATCGAAATAAATCATTTAGAATTTCGTGAAACAAAAGTAGTAATTTATATTCAGTATTTATCTCGTATTTACTTTTTTTTTCATTTTAAATAATTTCATCTTTTTTTCCAGATGATTTATTTCTGCTATTTAATTTGATTCATCGTCTGTGAATGTTCAGCGATTATTTTTTAATTCGGTATCACGGCAAAGTGGTAAAGCCACTAAAACACAAAAGGTTACAGAGGGTGGAAGAATTAGGAAACATTAATAATGGGTGTGAAGAGTAAACAGGAGGGCAGTATATAGCGATTAACATTGCATTTAAATGTTTGCCCGGAGCCGGAAGGGAGTTCCACAAGCGAGAAGTACGAGAAAAGTAACTGTTAGTACAGAACTTACGGATACATCTTACTGTGCTTAAATTAAAAAAAGGCTAGGTACCATAGCGAAGTGTTCATCTGAACAAATAACCATGAAATTATTCATAGAAAACACAGAGAGAGGCAATCTTACGGCGGTGGAAAAGTGATTATTGTAATGTACTTGTAATCATTGATAAATAAATCTG